AGGTTGCTGTGAGCTGTGATGCCATGGCATTCTACCCAGGGGGATAGCTTGAGGCTCTGTCTCAAAAAAAAAACAAAAAACCAATGGGCACACCCAAGGCTGAGTTTTCTGAGGGGGACAAAACCTTCATTCTACAGAAGATAGATTTGATCTAAATAGTTTAATCAAGCCCTTAAACAAATAAACAAGCAAATATTTAAAACAAGTCCCAGGGTGGTGCCTGTGGCTCAAGGAGTAGGGTGCTAGCCCCATATACCGGGGGTGGTGGGTTCAAGCCTGGCCCAGCCAAAACTACAAAAAATAAATAAATAAATAAAAACAAGTCCTAGAGGAGGAGAATTAATACACACAGTTGCTATAATACACTTCCTAAAATGTTCAATTTTTGGCAAAAAGTTATAAGAGACATGTGAAGAAACAGCATTCATATATAGGAAAAAGGTAGGCTGCTGGACGTGGTGGCTCATACCTATAATCCTAGCACTCTGGGAGGCCGAGGTGGGTGGATTGCCTGAGCTCACAGGTTTGGGACCAGCCTGAGCCAGAGTGAGACCTCGTCTCTAAAAATAGCTGGATGTTGCGGTGGGCAGCTGTAGTCCCAGCTACTTGGGAGGCTGAGGCAAGAGAATCACTTGAGCCCAAGAGTTTGAAGTTGCTGTGAGCTATCATGCCACAGCACTCTACCAGGGTGACAAAGTGAGACTATGTCTCAAAAAAAAAAAAAAGTCTGGAAGAGTTTACATAAATTTGCCTAAAGCAACTTGTGCATGTAGGGAGGTACTTTTAATTTCTACTTTATATACTTCTGGGCTCAGCTGCCATAGGAGAGTGGTTACGGGGCCAGCCACATACACCAAAGTTGGAGGGTTCAAAGCCAGCCCGGACCAGCTAAAGCAACAATGACAACTGCAACAAAAAATAGCTTGGTATTGTGGTGGGCACCTGTAGTGCCAGCTGCTTGGGAGGCTGAGGCAAGAGAATCACTTGAGCCCAAGAGTTTGAGGTTGCTGTGAGCTGTGATGCCAAGGCAGTCTACCAAGGGTGACACAGTGTCTCAAATAAATAAATAAATAAATAAAATATATATACACACTTCTGTACTGTCTGATGCTTTGTTTTTTGAGACAACATCCCATTCTGTTGCCCCAGATAGAGTGCAGTGGCATTATCATAACTCACTGCAACCTCAAACTCCTGGGGCTCAAGTGATCCTCCTACGTCGGCCTCTGGAGTAGATGAGCTTATACATCATGATGCCCAGCTAAGTTTCCTGTTTTTTAATAGCGACAGGCTCTCACTCTTACTCAGGCTGGTCTCAAACTCCTGAGCTCAAGTGATCTTCCCACCTCAGAGTGGGATTAACTTCCACCTCCCACAGTGCTAGGATTACAGGTGTTAGTCACTGTGCCTGGCCTGTCTGATGCTTTTTTAGGAGAAAAAATTCTGGACCAAAAAATAAAAAAGGAAAAAAACACATCTCACTTAATATAGCGGTAAGTTGGCCCACAAAAAGATATTGATATAAAACATTACTTCTTTGGGAAAAGAAAAACCTGTTATTACCTTGATTTCTCATTGGAATGGTTAGCATTGCAAGGTAAGGTAATAGCTGAGTTTGAAGGCATAACGTTGGTAGGCAGAAGTCAGAAAAAAGTGCTTTTGCTGCCAAGCAATTTTCCCGATACTGTGTATGAAACAAAAAGATAAAAGGAAAAATGAAATTAAAAATACGGTTATACATTCCTTGACAAGCTAAGTTTATTATATCACAAAGGGTGTTGGTTTATATGCCACAAATACGCTTTCAAGAGTTCATGTAATTATTCCCTTATAATTTTTCTAGCATTACTAATAAAGCATTTTACCTACACAACTATTTCACATTTCATATAACAATAAGAAATTATTAAATAGAAACTTAACATATAAGAAAAATAATCTCAAAAATCAAAAGAATTTTGTTGAGGAGCATATACACATCACAAACATGTGAAAGATTGTACAAATACAATTCCCCAATGAAATGATTAATTTTCCTCAGCCAACCACAACATTAGGCTGAGGATAGAAGCACAATCGTGATTTCAAGGCAATGACAATCTTAGATGACTCACATACAGCTATACAGCAAAATTAATACACAGAAGGTGCCAAACAATGTACACACACTTTAAGAAAGGAAAAAAACTGTATCAAAATTATAATACTCAATATATACTGATAATAAAACATAAATACAAGTCATGTTGAGCACCTGTTATAATTGTAAAAGTCAACTGCAACTTGAATACACAAATTTAGTACAGTTTTTTTTCTTCTTCTTTTTTTTCCTTGAGACATTGTCTCACTATGTTGCCCTTGGTAGAGTGCCATAGCGTCACAGCTCACAGCAACCTCAAGCTCTTGGGCTTAAGCAAGTTTCTTGCCTCAGCCTCCCAAGTAGCTGGGACTACAGGTGCCTGCCACAAGCCCAGCTATTTTTTGTTGCAGTTGTCATTGTTTAGCTGGCCCAGGCTGGGTTTGAACCCGCCAGCCTCAGTGACTGGGTCTGTAACTATTGTGCCACAGCGGGCACCAAGCCAGTTTTTTCCTTTTTTAAAATGCGTATACATTCTTTTTTTTTTTTTTTTT